ATATATTAAACATATTATATATATATTATATATTATATATTATATATTATATATTATATTTTATATATTATATATTATATATTATATATATATGTATATACACCTGAGCGAGGACATGATCATTAGGCCCTTTGATGAGAATAGTGCAGCTCTTAGGGTTTAGAACGCCGTCTATGAAAGTAAACTTATCATCTCCTAGCGACTGTTCATACACCTCAGCAGCAAACCCTAAATCTTCTACACGTAGATCTTCGACGCTATTTACTGCGCTGCCGCCGCAACACAGCGGCAGCCTCTCCATGTTCCGCCTCTTAACCTGTAAAGACAATCACGTTGTTATTCTATTTATTTGCTTATTGTTTGTTTGTTTATTTATTTGCTTGTTGTTTATTTATTTATTTATGTATTGCATGTACAAATATATATCTATATATGTATGTATGTATGTATGTATGTATGTATGTATGTATGTATGTATGTATGTATGTATGTATGTATGTATACAGACAGATTTATAGATACAGACAATATATACAAATATATATAAAATTCTTTATGTAAGTTTTAAAGTAATAGACAAATAAATAAATAAAATAAATAGATAAATAAATAAATAAGTAGTGGAGGTGCATAGTACAATAAGACAGCTAAAGAAAAAATACAAAAACAATAAATAAATAAAAATAATAAATATATACATAGATATAGTTAACACCATCAGCAATAACAGCAGCAGCAGCAGCAACAGCAGCGACAACTGGAGCAACAGCAGCCACACCGTCAGCACCAGCACCCACACCAGCAGCAGCAGCAACAGCAACAGCAGCAGCAGCAGCAGCAGCAGCAGCAGCAAGTACCCTTCTAAGCGCCATGATGCCTTCTTTTGCGAGTAGATCTAAGCTTGGAGGATCGATCCCTTTTTGATTGAGAACAACAAAGTTTTTTTTATTTTCGGGTGTACATACAGCTCGTTTAAGCTGAATGATTTTATTAACTTTATCATCTGTAAACTTTCTCTCTGCCGCCACTAACTTCTCTCTTTGCTCAGCACTTGTGTAGAAGAAGCCTGCGTTTACTTCGCTCTTCTCGTACTCTAGAGATACATTACATGTCAAGATAAAACAATTCTTTAAATGCTTCGGCATGTCCGGGTGTCTACAGCCGTGATCAAGCACCATACCCTGTACACAAACAAAAAAAATATTATTTTATTATATTAATTTATTATATATATATGTATATATGTATATATATATGTTTATTTATTTATATATATGTACATTTGTTTATTTATTTATGTGGATGTATATTTGTTTATTTATATTTATGTATATTTGTTTGTTTATTTAGATGTATTATGTGTATGCATCTACATATCTATCTATCAATCTGTTTATCTGTCTATCTATCTATATGTACTCTATATATGTATATATATACATTTATAGATATATATATTTGTTTATATAACCCTACATATATAGCGTATATCTAGGGTTTAGGGTTTGCTATCTAGGTTTTAGAATTAATATACATAGGGCATATGTAGGGTTTAGGGTTTATTATTTAGGGTTTAGGGTTTATTATTTAGGGTTTAGGGTTTATTATTTAGGGTTTAGGGTCTGTTATTTAGGGTTTAGGGTTTATTATTTAGGGTTTAGGGTTTATTATTTAGGGTTTAGGGTCTGTTATTTAGGGTTTAGGGTTTTTTATTTAGGGTTTAGGGTTTATTATTTAGGGTTTAGGGTCTGTTATTTAGGGTTTAGGGTTTATTATACAGGGTTTAGGGTTTAGGGTTTAGGGTATTCAAATACCTTGACGAGCTTGGTTTCTTCTGCTAGACGATGCTTCATATGAAGAACCTCGACCATGAACAAATCTAACTCTTGCTTTGGAGTGTATATGCACATGACAGCATCTACAATATCTTCAGCAAGTTTATCCGCAAAAGAAGCAGATAACTTTGTTCTTAATGATGTACAAGCTACAGACACCTGAAGCTCCCGCTCCGGCAACTCCCCACTCGATATCTTCACCTGCATACACACAGACCCTAAACCCTAAACCCTAAACCCTAAAACCCTAAACCCTAAACCCTAAACCCTAAACCCTAAACCCTAAACCCTAAAACCTAAACCCTAAACCCTAAACCCTAAACCCTAAACCCTAAACCCTAAACCCTAAACCCTAAAAACCCCAAACGGCAAACGAAACCCTAAACCCTAAACCCTAAACCCTAAACCCTAAACCCTAAACCCTAAACCCTCAACCCTAAACCCTAAACCCTAAACCCTAAACCCTAAACCCTAAAACCCTAAACCCTAAACCCTAAACCCTAAACCCTAAATAAACCCTAAAACCCTAACCCAAACCCTAAACCCTAAACCCTAAACCCTAAACCCTAAACCCTAAACCCTAAACCCTAAACCTTAATTTTTTTGTCTTTTTTATTGGCGATGAACTTGAATGAATTTTTGTTCTCGAAAAATTTATTCTAAATAAACCCTAAACCCTAAACCCTAAACCCTAAACCCTAAACCCTAAAACCTTTACCTCGTCAAGCAACTCTAAAGTCTTTTTTCTCGCCTTATCAAAACCAGCACAGAGCAAACGCGGATGCACTCCCTCAGCAATAAACCTGAAGAAAAATAAAACAAAATAAACTTAAAAAAACAATAAATTAAATTAAATTAAATTAAATTAAACGGAGAACAAATAAATAAAATAGAGGAGGTTTAGATAGAGGTGAAAATGCGTTAAAAGAATAAATAAAAATAAAAAATAAATAAATAAAATAAAATAAGCAAAGAAACAAATAATAATATAATTAATAAATTAAATAAAGGTGTCAACAAATAAACAAACAAAACACAGAAAAACAAAAAAAAAATAAATGCAACAGAGACAGATAAAAGAAATTAAAATAAACAAAATATATAAATATATAAATAATAAAATAATAATCAATAAACAAATCAACAAAAAGCAGCCAAGACATACACAACCCTAAACCCTAAAACCCTAAAACCCTAAACCCTAAACCCTAAAAAAACAGACAGCGAGGGTTTAGGGTATAGGGCTAGCTAGACCTAGAATTGAGGAGACAGCGATGAAGACAGCGCATCAAAGCAGGAAAAAAAAACACATATTAGGGTTTAGGGTTTAGGGTTTAGGGTTTGTCGGCAAACCTCTCAGCTTGTCTCAGCAACTCTCCTACAAGCAGCACAGAAGACGTCGTCCCGTCTCCTGTTATTTCGTCTTGTGCTGCAGCAGCGCGAGCAATCAGTGCTGCTGTCGGATGCTGAATTTGCATTTCGTGCAGCAGCACACTACCGTCTTTTGTTAGCTTCAGCTGCCCCGCACCTGCAGCAGCAGCAGCAGCAGCAGCAGCAGCAGCAGCGACAATGGAGAAAACAGCAGCAGCAAAATGGGAGAAGAAGCAGAATTTGCAGCAGAAAGGAAGGTGAAGCGGCAGCAGCAGCAGCACCAAAAGAGCAGCAGCAGCAGCCAAAGAAACCCTAAACCCTAAACCCTAAACCCTAAACCCTAAGCGCTGATCCCTCAACGAAAAAACAACACGAAAAAAACAAAACAGCAGCAGATAGAGAGCAGCCACGTACAACCCATCAATCAATTGCAGCAGCAGCAGCAGCAGCAGCAATTCCCCCAGCAGCAACAGCAGCAGCAGCAGAAAAAGGCTAATCTGCTGCTTTCTCACCTCCTACAAGCATTTTAACAGTCCCCTTAGGGCCTAAGTTTGACTTCAATACATCTTGAAGCCCCTTCGCTGCGTTGCAGTTTGCTGCCAGTGCTGCTGCAGCGCGCAGCACATCTGCCTTCGCGTTAACCACAGACACGCTCATCCCTGCAGCAGCAGCAGCAGCAGCAACAGCAGCAGCAACAACAGCAGCGGCAGCAGCAGCAGGGAGGATGAAGCGCACAGAGGATTTCGAGTGGTGTCTTGGGCTACACCTGGTGCTACTGTTGCTCCTGCTGATGCTGCTCCTGTTGCTGCTGCTGCTGCTGCTGCTGCTGCTGCTGTTGCTGTTGCTGCTGTTGCTGCTATTGCTGAGTACTGTGTTGGTGGGGCTGCATGCGGAGGAGAAACCTCTGCTAAGGTCGTGGTATAACAAGTGTGTTCCGCTGCTGCTGCTGTAATTGCATTTGCTGCTGCATCTGCTGCTGTGTGCCCGTTGTTTCCGCCGCTGCTGCTGCTGTTGCTGCTGCTGCTGCTGCTGCAGTAGCCGCAGCAGCTGCTGCTGCTGTCTGTGAAGGGGGCGTGGGGAGGGGTTGTGTTCGACTCACTTGTGAGTTTAAAGAGTTGGGTTTAAACAAAATAGAGGAGCAGCAGCAGCTGCAGCAGGAGCAGCAGCGGCCGCAGCAAGAACAGCAGAGCAGCACCGGCAGCAGCAGTTAGTAGCGACAGCAGCAGCAACACCTGGAGGGTATTGGTGCTGCGCCTCAGTCAACCCCGATAACAATGTGGATGCGGGGTTAATAAAAGCCGTTTATAGCAGAACATTGCCTCATAGCACCTAAACCCTAAACCCTAAACCCTAAACCCTAAACCCTCTGGAGCTAAGGGGCGGCCCCCCAGCCCCAGCACCCTCCAGCCCCAAAGTGAATAATATATTATCAGAGTAAAGCTCTTTAAAATAAAAAGAAAGACAATTTAAGTTTATTTCTGTCTTATTTATATACTCTAAACTGCATCTATATTGAGGTGTACATACACCTCATATTAATGCAGACGCCGGCACCGCCGCAGCCGCAGGCCTCAAGAGAATAAAAAAGAATTAAAATTATTTTAATTTATTTCTTTTCAATTTATTAATTTAATATTTTTAATCTATTTCTCTATTTTCACTCAATTTACGCTGCTCTTCATGCCCGGAGCCTTCGGGCTTTGTAGGGATATAACAGCAACAGCACTCAGGCAGTAATTATAGTGAGGTGCGCAGACACCGCAGCAAATAAACAACAGAAGCCTCCAATTAAGAAAGGGCTCTCCTAAACGCATGCTTGCGCTCAGAAGCCCCCGATGCGCTGCTGCTGCTGCCCACCTACGAAGTAAGTCTAGGGTTTAGGGTTTAGGGTTTAGGTTGGTGAGTATCTTAGCAGCACTTTCATTGGCTGCTTCTAAGAGGACAACTGTCTAATTAAAAGTATATCCTGCTGCTTATGAGGGTTTAGGGTTTAGGGTCTAGGCGGCAGTTCCTAGACGAAAAGATAAAGCCTCCTTCCCCCCTTTAGACCCTAGGGTTTAGGGCCTGGGGTTTAGGGTTTGTGGTTTAGGGTTTAGGGTCCCTCTGCACGGGCCCCATATATTTCAGACGGCCTTGCAGCATCTCTGTTATATAAAAAAATGCATAAACCCTAAACCCTAAACCCTAAACCCCAAATAAGCAGACAAAATTGCCGCTACTACTCCAAACCCTATATAAACCCTATAAACCCAATAAACCCTAAACCCTAAACCCTAAACCCTCCTTCACATAAAGAATCCTCCCCCTCCAAAGCCTCCTCCTCCTCCACCGAAAGGGTCTTGAGGGGGCCCCCCCCTACCAAAGGGGTTGAGGGGCCCCCCGCTGAAGGGTGGCCCCCTTAATCCGGGGGCCCCCCCTAGGGGCCCCCCAGGGGCCCCCCCTAAGGGCCCCCCAGGGGCCCCTCCCAGGGGGCCCCCAGGGGCCCCTCCTAAGGGCCCCCCAGGGCCCCCCCCTAAGGGCCCCCCAGGGGCCCCCCCCAGGGGCCCCCCCCGGGCCCCCCCCCCGGGCCCCC